TAGCTATCCATAAGAATTTTTGAAAATCCTTGTTAGGGCAAGCAAAGTGGCAAGAAACAGGGGTCTACCATGAAACATAATAGATGTTAAAGTTATAGAAATAAATTTCATGGATATATTTAGTTCAACCCCAAACTATCTGTTAGTAGATGGAGATTAAGGAACTTCGTCATAAACGTTAACAAAAACCTACTTACCGATAATATTAATATTAACAAAATAAAACGTAAATTTTAAATTTTCTTCTTGTATAATATGAAATGTAGACAAATAGTTATTATATATCATAATACTAACCTTTAACTGTCCACTGCTGAATATAAGCCTCCTTCTTCGGGTTTTACCAGTAGTTGCCACACTTGGCAGGCGAATTGGCAACCGCAGTTAGGCTTCGCCCTGCTTTAATCGCCTCTTACAATACCCACGGGAAAGAAAAGGATGGCCAATTCCATGCCGGGACCATACGGCGAAGTTATTGTATGTGTAGTACCTACTAATATAAACCTACGTGGCTTCCAATGCTAAGTAAATATGTTTTTTTTTTGTAAGTGTATATCCTTCGTGTTTTGTTCGGCGGCGAAATTTTGAACAGAATTTCATGGTAATATCTACATGATAAGATCAAGTACGTGCACCCATCCATTTTTAGCCTATAATTAATATAGGCAAAAAATAATTATGTTTTCATAAATCAGTCGCATATAATGAAATGTTTTCCATTGGATCGTATATATCACATCATCATTATCATTACCTCAGCCGTTAATTGTCCACTGCTGAACATAGGCGTCTCCATAAGGGGGATTTTGCCAGTAATTTCCATGCTTGGCAGTCGAGTTGACAATCGCAGTTAGACCTTGGTGATGTTTTAAGAAGGACACTGCTTCCTATCTCTTGACCAATAAATTCCTTTAGTCGTCTCTTACGACATCCACGGGAAAGGAAGGTGTGGCCCATTCAATGCCGGAACCATCACGACGATGAATTATGAATGAATGAATGAATGAATGGTTTATTTTCTCTTCACAAAAGGTAGGATAAAGTAACAACATGAGGTACAATTTGATATGAAGACCAATTTTGTGAGAGACTGGTGCTTGCGGTAGGTTTAGAAGAACCTGTGTTACAAGTCACTAGTGCCCCATCTCCATGGACTACACAAATACAAGGCAACCAATTAGTGTTATAATACACAGATAACAATAATAAGATACAGGGTGGTCCATAAGTCCTTAGTAATGAAAAAAATTAATTAAAATAAAACTAATTACACTATGAATAATATTTTTATTTGTAAATATAGCTAGAAAAACGGGAATTATTTTTTGTAAATAACGTCGTCCAAATATAATCCGTTACAGTCACGGCACTCTTGCAAACGCCTTCTGAAATTGTCGATGACTGCTGATGGGTTAGAGTCGTACACTTTAGCCTTAAGGTAGCCCCACAAAAAAAAATCCCCCCGCTTCCCCTGCACCGCTCACGCGCGCCGTTTTCGTTTAATTCAAATTTTACTTTTCTAAGGACTTTTGGGCCATCCTGTATAAAGTGCAAGAATAAACTTAACTACATAACAAAATACAGACTATGTGTGCGTGTGTGTGTGTGTGTGTGTGCGTGTGTGCGTACGTGCGTACGTGCGTGCGAGCGTGCGTGCGTGCGTGCGTGCGTGCGTGTGCGTGTGCGTGTGCGTGTGCGTGTGCGTGTGCGTGTGCGTGTGCGTGTACGTGTGTGTGTGTAAGTGGGTGTGTGTGTGTGTGTACACATAATTATATGTGTCCAGTGTTCTGTGTGCACTGCGTTTGTGTGCTTGCTCAAAAGATTTTTAGGTGCCGTGTGTCGTTTAGAACGTGTCGTGTTCGTGTCCGTGTGACCGTGTGAAGTGTGCGTGTGCGTGTGCGTGTGGGCCAGTCTGTAGTATTGCAGGAAAGTTCACGGTATATTTAAAAAAATTGACCAGAGTATTGCTGGGAAGTTCACGGTATATTTAAAAAAAGTGTATTGATGAGAGTTTTCACAACACGACCTAAAACTGTATCTTGATACACTCTGGCTGAATTTTTCACTCTTTTTCTTTACAAGAATGTTGCCCCACCAAACCATAGGAGCACTGACTTAGGATGTGACCACGTGTCCTTTTCGAACAGGCCTCTTTCCTCGTATACTTTAAACTTGTTCATGTTCTTAAAACTGACCATAATTTTTTTTGGTAAAGATAATATTTCTGTGCCTTTCACCTGCGTGTCGCAACAGGAGATGTTTTGATATTTGTAAAGATTCATTTAGGGAATGTTCTGTATATCGATGATAAGTACCGAACCTCAGGTCTTGTTTTATAGTACGCGACAGAGTCCTAGCGGGAATCTTTATTTCTCGCGATAAGATTTTTGCTTTGTTTCGACGAATTCTGGCTTTAACAGTGCTTTTGAAGTATCTGGAATATGACTGACGACTTCATACGCACTTTGTGCAAGGTGATCACTGCGATCCTATTTTCTTTAACACCCCATTCCATATTGTAATTTGATAATAAACACGAAAAAATATGAGAAATGGCGCGAAATCGAGAGAAGTTTTTAAAATAATAAACGTGTTTCAAAATCAAAATAATTAAAAAGTTGAAAAAAAAAGTTTTTATGTAACAGAATTTATGGCCAGACTAGTTATATTCTATAGATAAAATAACTTCAATTTCTGTTTGTTATATCTGTTTTTACTAGATTTAAAACCAAAGATTTTACAGACATAGAGAAATCGCTAAGATACCTGATTTAGAAATAAAAATATTATGTAACACAAGAAAATCACGATCTTTGTTGATTTTATTGTTCTCCTGGAACTATTATTATATCATCTATACCCTGATTATATCATTTAGAATGGTGACAATGGTCGCCAACGGGGGACCTCTGGCTTATAACGCCTAATAACTTCTGTTCCGAGATCTCAAAGCATTCGCACACAGATTAAACGATTTTTCAAATACAAAAGAAATATGTCCTTACGATCCTGACTATCTATTAATTTGTATACAGTTACCTTGATCCATTTTTAATTATGTGAAGCGATAGTAGTATTATATATTCCTGTAATTTTAACTGTCTTAAGCCAGGTGAGCTCAATTCTATTGTACTGTTTATCGTGAACTGATTTTGATTGAATGAAAACTCTTTATTGAACAATATTCCTTCAAAGAATTATACAAATTACGAGTATAAAGATTAACAATATATACACACAAATAGAATGAATAATAAATTACATAAACTTAATTATATAAAAGATCGCTAAATTTTTTAATTTTGATATTTTTTTTACCGAAAGTGATACAATCACAATCAATGTGATACTGTCCATATGTTAAATCTTTTAATACCGAGGCATCAAGAGGTAATAAACAAACAAATTCACTTTCACATTTATAATATTAGTAGCAACTCGTATTATCTATTTTTGTCATTTTGACTGTTTTGAAAAAAATACTTAGTATTCACAGAATTTCTTTATAAAATTCGTTCAAATAGATTGCTAGCGACATCTTGTAGATTGTCTCGGTACAACATCGACATGGAGCTATAGAGCACATCCTCAATTAGTTGCAATAGTTTGAACATAGTACATCATAGAGGACAGATTTAAATTACAAACATAGATATTGATGATACTCCATTGTGGGTTATGTATTTATTAAAATATAATAAATGCATAATAAAATTCATAAACAAAGAAGTTTGTTCAATACGAAATAATTATAAAATATTAAATATATTAAATTAAATTTTAATATTTAATAATATTAAATATTATAAATATTAAAATCATTGAACAATACGTAAAAAACCGGTTATTTCGATTTAGAAATTAAATTGTTGAATTGATTTTAATAAAATTTCTATGTAACTAATCTAAAAATGTATCTTTTTAAATAATAAAATAATTATTTAAATCGGCTTATAAATGATATAGTTCTAAGTAAACAAACATAAAAAAACAACTGTACTCAGAATTCCTTTTTTTGAAGTCGGTTGAAAATAATAATAATTTTGATATCAACAGTATTTACTACCGTGTTGGTACCTGTTTATATCAATTTTATCACAATTCAAATCACTACTTTTTTTGCGAACCAAAAAACCACACACTATTATTTTTATTAATAAAAAAACCTTCTAAAATCCAATCTTTTTTCAGTCATCATAATATTATGAACTTATAAGAGATGTTAATGGAAATAAAAATCAGTGATATGTGATTATCTATAATTTTTCTTAAATCACCGTCAATTCAATAGTATTACATTCATTTTCTATTGTTTAATTTTTAACAGCAGATTTATAGAGTATATTAATTTCGTTAGAATTTTAAGTTATAAACCTAAACAAAAAAATTAATAATTGAAATAAAAAAATAAAAAAAAAAAACATTTAAGCAGGCCCATACAGAAGCCCTTTTATATGTTTTTTTTTTTGTTTTGTATTTTTTCTATAGTTTCGGAAAGTTATCTATGTAATTTTTGTCTATCATAATATCAAGATTTTTTTTTCAGTAGGTATTCATATTTAAAAATTAATGATTTTTCAGTAAGATATATTTCTTTCTTTAGTAGAAATTATCCTTATTAGAGTATAAAGCGATTTGAATTGTTATCATATGGAAGAACCAGAAAAACTTGTTTGCATATTAAATAGAGTCCATGATTATTTTGCTATTCTTACATATTCAACTAATATTACGAATGTGATGGTTAACAAAAATGTTCAGACATTTACATAGATGTTGAAACATTTGGATGTTTGTTAAACAATTATATTAGAATGAATTTGAATAAAATTTTGTGTATAGTTATGGTGTACAATTAGTTTTGAAGTTAAACTTGTAGTTTATAAGAACGATATAAAATTGCCATTATATATTTCCGAAAAACAAGACATTAAAGACTATCACGCGAACTATATTGGTGAAAAGCTTGCGACGCGCATGCGTGACTCAGGCGGCGAGTTTTAAAATTAGAACTGTTGCCGGAATTTCTCTGTGTCGTTTTATTGTAAACGAATTTTAGCACGTTTCATATAAGTTCTATTAATCTAATGTTGTTTGTCTATGACCGAGTGAATCGATTGGTTTGAAATTTGAGCTAAAAGGAATTGCATTTAAGAATATTATACCTAATCGCAGTTAAGTAGAAGTGTATCCTATAACAATTGACATTGAAAATGCGTGTGATCGGACTGGTGCTCCTCTTATTGATGTGGAAAAAAGGCAAGTGGTGTTTGCATAATAAATAGGTATCTTAATTCTGCAGGTGTCATTACAAAAATATAGTTTAAAATTATTCTAGAAATTTTGTACATTAAAAAATATAAATTATAAGTTAAATTATTTATTACAAATAAGTAGATATTAAAATCGAAAAAAAATCAGTAATATGATTTGAAAAAAAATTAATTTACATTTATTATATAAATATTTTATTTAACTTTTAGTTCAAAAGGCTGTAATATTTTTATAAAATTTATTTTTTTACTTATCTACTTAGGTAATGTAGGTATAGTAGGAATGTAAACATATACATTTCAATGTAAGATTAATATATTGGTGCAACGTTAGATTATATAGATAGAACATTCAGTGCCAAAAACAGGTCAACATTTTTTTCAACTAAAGTGACAAAACAAACTATATTTTCAGTGTTGCAAGTAATTAGATTAAAATCAAATCACGTCGCCTTTTTAAATTTGACTTGGGAGCTATTTTTTATGATATAATATAATTTTACATATTTACTTATTGCTTAGTTAGTTACAAAACTTAATTAAAAACTTAATTTAGAAATTATTATACAAATTTTCATTAAAATATCGGCCATTTTTAATGATTCAAATCGAAAATATATAGTCTACACTAAGATATAAATCAAAGTAATCTGTATGATACTGATAAGGGAGAATTATTGGGTATCGTCACAGATAATATAATACTCTACTAGGTATTGTGTACTCTGTTATTTTAAATATATTCACAATTTTTTTGTAGCCTTTTTACTTTTTAACTTAATCTTACAATACTATTGCTCACATATACCTACTGAGTAATAAATGTACATTATGATAATTCTATTGACCCACATATGTATAAAAAAGTTTACCTGTTTTCGTAGAGGCATTTGTATGGAAACACTATATAATCTAAGGGTGCAACAAAAAGGAACTTGAACTTTCATATTAAATTGGCCACGTGACGTAGTTTATGAAAGCACCCGAAAATTCCATTATTGACTTTCATATAAATACTTTTCAATCGTAGGATTTTATATTATGACCTTTCTTTTAATCTTTGTTATAATAGATATTGGTATAGATAGATAAATAAGTTTGAGGTTATTATTCTGATACTATATGTATGACAAATACTTAGGTCAAATCATAGTTATGGTTTGATCGATCACCATGAAAGTAGGCACATTTAAAGCATAATTCCGTACATTTTCTGAAGACATGGCTGAAAATATCACAAAAAAAGTTTCATCATAGATTAGAGAGATTAGTACCTGTGGAGTTTAAGCTTCTCATATACGACAAACAGAGCGCTTTCTCTTGTCGAGTTAGTTATTGAGGCTTAACATTATTCGTCGTTTTTCCAGATTAATTTTTTGTTTTATTTGGAAATATGTCCTGTTTCACTGCAATGGGATAAATGATAGTAATAATTTCCATATAACCTTGTATGTATTTTTATGGAGAAGGTTTTTGGTTACATTTTATTGTAATTGTAATTTTCCTAATGTCATAGATGGTATTAGGCAAATTATGTAAATCTAAATTAATATTATAAATAGAAAAAAAGGTTTTTGTTTTTTAATGTATAAACTCACTTTAAAAATATTTTCACCATAGAAATAGGTGTCGGATATTATCCTTAATCTATGGTAGATATTCTGAGGTAATTTAGAACTATGATAAGTAATCATAACTTGGCAAGGGAGTGATGCGTGTAATTTGATATTTATTAATTTTTTTATCTACCTATTTTTTGTTGTTTTTTTATTTTCTTCTTATATTTCTAACTTTTATTTTCATATATGTAGTTATATGACTTGAGCTCTATTATCCGCTTGCTTATAAACGACAAGGCGCTTATAACTGTGGCTCTTGTATTGCGGTATCCATGACGTCTCCATGGGAGCTGTCGTAATATTAGCGCTTGCTACTAACAATGGGTAACGTGTCGATGTGATTGATGACTTAATGCTGAGATGGGGACCCTTTGGTCATATTTTTTTTTGTGTACTTATGATTGTTATACTATTCGTGTGAAATTGTTTTATGGCCAATATATATATATTTTTCTAGTTTAATGCTACATTATCAGTGTATAAGTAGTTTTCTAGTAAGTAATTAAAGTAAATAAATAAATCACGGAAAAACAAATCCAATTATATAAATGTATATACAGGAATAAAAATAAAGAAAATAATAAATAATAAAAATAATAAAGAATAGAAGAGGCAAAATGCTGGGCCACCTTATACGACATGACGATTTTTTAAGAGCATAATAGAAGGAAAGATAGAGGGCAAAAGAGGAAGAGGAAGACCGAGGATTAACTACATGGGACAGATAAAGGAAACACTAGGCGTCATGTCGTAAAGGGAGATAAAGGATATGGCCTGGGATAGAGCTGGCTGGAGAAAGATGCATGAATTGGTTGCACCGACAAGAGGAAACTCTTAAATGAAAAGAAGATATTCAGGAAGCACAATACATAGGTTTTGTGAAGTATAAAGCAAATAAGTGGGGTATATTAATTAAATTTAACCTTTTAAAGCAATTTATAATTTACGAGTATTAGTAAGTGTATAAATAGCTTTCATAATTTATGTAAAATTACTTATTACAATTATAGCTATTATGTATATAAGCTTTTGTGTAATATAATCTAGGTTAATTATTTTAATAGACCAACAAGAGAGATCAAAATTTAAGGAATAAAGAATAATTTCATTAAATCTCCCTCATACGTATAACTTACTCAACTCATAATTACGTAGGCCGCAAATTCACATCTCAAGAGTTGCTGAATGGATTTTGTGGCGGTTTTAAGTTAGTTACAGGGTAACATAATGGCATTTTCAAAATTAGTTGTTTAAATGTTACAATGCAATAGGGGTATGTAAGGAAAGTATGGAAAGTTAGTCAAAACAATAGTTTTATATTTAGAGATTTTTAAAATTCGTTTAAACTGTAAATATTTCTAGGTTAATAATTAAATATTCTAAATAAATATACATTACCATTTTTATAATATATTAATAATGTATCGGTATACTAATAAAAAAATAATGATTATTTTTTAATTCGATACCATTATTAATAATAGAATATGATAAGGAATACATTCCGGGCTGTATCTGAACTATAAAATATAAAATTCGAGACTAAAGCAAAATTGTTAAAACAAAATAAGTATAAGAAGCCAGTTGTCTCGAGACATAAACAATCTATAGAGGCAACGGATGCTGCATAAGAATTACAGAAGAACAGCCTTCTCGTGGGGTTCTGAATATTTTTGACAGTCGCATCACGTTTTATTGCCTGTAAATCGTGATTTATTTCAACATGAAACTGGATTGTTATTTATATCAATGAGGATCGTATGCCCCGAGGCGTCACTGGTTGATTGTTGTTCTTTGAAGTTTGTATCTCAGAAGTGCTCAAATTAATAATATATACAAAACTTCATATCAAAATTCCGATTAATGGTTCGGTAGAGCGTTAAATTCGGTGAGCTCCGAGCCAATATTAGTTTAGGATTACATTCACTTTCTTCTTGTTATTATTGTGGAAACTCAAATTGTCTTTTATTATTACCTCTTACATGGCCTTGCTCTGCTAAAATGTTATAGTAATTTCCTACAGTCAGTATTATAGTTTTTTCCAACATAAAATACAACATCGACTGATATCGCAAATTTGACTCAAAAAGATCCATGGACTAGTTATATAACTTAGAACAATGCAGATTTTTACTATGACCTTATTTTAAATTTTTATTCTAAATTTAATTTAGAAATAGAAAATGACCGGATAATATTTTTTCTAAGGAGAATATTGATGGAACTGGAAAATTAATCCATGCAAACCATGCACTAAGATGTATCAACACATTAAAAGAATAGAATATTTATAATGTAATTCGAAGAATATTTATTACTAGCAATTACACCTGCGTGAATACATAAAGTATCATATGTATACCAAATGTCATTAAAATCTGTTCAGTAGTTTTTGCGTAAAAGAATAACAAACATCCATACTTACAAACTTTCATATTTAAAATATTAATAGGATGTTGTAAATTATAGGTGCATAGATTATACATAAACGTATTTTTGTTGAATGTGATCCAGGCCTGATTTTGTTTAATTTCAAAATGTAAAATTTTATCTTTCATTCATTAATACGGAAGTTATGAAGATATCTTGTTTGTCTTATCGTGGACTTAACACTACCGAAAATTATTAAGTCAAATGAAATTGTATTAAGTTTTTATTCAAAATTGGTTCATATATTGTGATAATTTTTTTAAAAATAATTCATTAATTTGTCAAATAACAACAATTGTTCGAAACGACAAACACAATTAATTAATTAAATTCTTTGTTTTTTTTTTATATGTTCTTTGTTTTTCCATCACGTTGGAATTTTCGATGACATTTTAGGATAAAAATATTCTTTGTATTAGTATGTTGTATTAGTTCTTAATTCGTTTTTTTTTATGTTCGTTACCTCATAACTCCGTCAAGACTAAATCAATTTTAAAAATTATTTTTTTATATATTCACAGATTGGTTCTATAGAAATTTTATCAATTTCGGTTTAGTACTTTGCTTTTTAGATCAAAATAATGGTCAAGTGGTTTATTGCCTCAAATTCAAATGGTCTCGTGCGGACAAATAAATGCATGACAATTTAACTATTCAACTTCCGGATTTCAATAATCAGAGATTACGTAATGAGCATATTTATTTAGTTCAATTTAATAAAAGTTAATCAATAAATGAGTTGATTTAATTTATGAATGAATGAGTTTAATGAATGATTGTAAATAAAAAAAAATACTATTATTCATACAGATTATGCCAATAGTGTTCGTATAGTGGAGCTACGTGTTTCAACTCATGCTGCAGAAGGCGGGGAGGCACTCCTGGGCTGTGAATTCGATTTGGAAGGTGATGTACTATACTCGTTGAAATGGTACAAGGATAACCGAGAGTTCTACCGTTACTCGCCACTGAATGATCAACCCGTCACTCACTTCTCGACGCCGGGCGTTATCGTCGATGTGAGTTGATCGAGAATGCACAGCTTAAAAGTATGCTATAAGTACTAGTAGTACCTTTACTGCAGAATATATTTTGTAATGTAGAAAATAATCTAAATAAATTACTAAATTTTAAATTAAATTGGTATTACAGCTTGTGGAAATAAGAATAGTTTAATTATTGTTATGTAGGGACTGAAAATGACATTTTTCCTTAAGAAATATGGGTCGAATAATAACAAAAACGAATATTACTCTCCCATACGTTAGTATGTTACGTATTGTTTTTATTTTAATAAATGAAACAAAATAATATGAATAGTAACGAATAAATTGAAAGGAAAACATTCTAATGTCGGTTGATTGTATTCATGGACCATGTTGTCTCTCTGTTCACTGAGGATGGTGTGGTCGCATGTCGCGCTAGAATAAAATAAAAAAATCTGTGTTAATGTTTAACTGTCAGAAATTGAAATTTTAAAATTAATAATAACTAACAGTAAATACTCCTAGATAAATAGACACACAACGCACTAACTAAAATGAATTCAAACTCATAGAAATACTTTCCTTTATAATTATATATGTAATACTATACGTTGAAATACCCAGACCAATACAAACAGTCATAATCATGAATACAAATGTTTGTATTATACGGGAATCGAATCCCCAACTATCGTAATAAGACAGGTAATGTCGCAAGCGAATAAAAATATTATTAGTATATTCTGTATTATAAGGGAAATTAGCGTAAAGTAGTTAAAGTTTATTTAAAGATACTTATATTAGCAAACGGTCCACCTTTATCAGTCTAACCGTCGACTAAACATAAGTAAACATGAACAGCACCGTGGGTATCACAGAATGAACTGTGACACTCATGGTCTTATATCTCCGTAAATTGGAACTTCACTACCGTATCTTTCAAATCGAAACATAACTATGTAAGTATAGCTGCTTCATGACAAAAATACGAGTAGGACAGGGGTATCTAACTTTCGTATATAATTTTAAAATATTTATTCCTTTCTAGCTTATTCGTTCAACGAATAACGTGGTGGCTTTGAAGAATTTGACCCAGGAGTCGGCTGGTGTTTACCGCTGTGAGGTGACCGGAGAAGCTCCAAATTTCATGAGCGTCAGCAGTGAGAAACGCATCTCAGTATACCGTCAGTAAATATTCTACAATCTTCACACACACCTACAGGATACTCTAATAAATATGTTTTTAATTGTAACGGTAGTAGACTTTTAACGATTTAGATGCACTTGCTATTGTTTAAAATTTTGGTCAGATAGTTGAAAGCGTTTTAGTATTAGTAAAAATATTTAATAATAATAAAGCTATGTGAAAGTGACGCCGCTGTGATTTAAAGTATTAGTAGTTTATATGCTAATATAACTACATACTTTTTATGCTATTTAAAACGAAAAATATACAATTATCAATAACTTAATATATCTACAAATTATAATATATTTTTATAATATTATAATTTGTATTATTATTATTATATTATATAGTATTGAATTTAATAATCTAATTGAAAATTAATCTATATGATGTTAATGGTTACCTTATTAACAAAACACCAGTTTCACAGTATGAAAATTTCAAAATGTATAAAAAAGTATAAAAAGAAATCTCAAAATTTAGAGTGGTTTAAATAGCTGACAGAAATTTTATATATTAATTCTACTGTATTTTAATGATAAATTTTACCTAATGAATAATAAAATTTGTAAGAATAATATTTTTTAACCGTTTTCATAATGCCAGAACCACAGATAAAGGGACACCTTACCATATGGTTAGGTATCCCTTTATATTAAAAAGGCTATATAGCCTTATTAACATTTTTGAATATAAAAAATTAAATAATAATTATATAGTTTCGTGTAACAAAATACAGATTTTTTTAAGTAAACGGGACCGAACAACGATCCGTGTATTTAGTAGGTCCACTATGTTGTAACTTATACAATATGAGGCCTTTTAAAAAAAAAAAAACATTTTGTAAACAAAAATATAATAGGGAAGGGATAACAAAAACAAAATAACATTGGTTAAAAGAAAAACTAGGAGACACGCCGATAAGAAAGTCAACGGATATTGCCATTTAAAGAAAGATACATTCAATATAAATAATAATAAACTCTTTACTGCGCACAATAGAGATATAAACAAGGTGTATTTATACAGAATATGCATATACAAAAGGTGGCCTATCGCTAAAAGCAATCTCTTACAGACAACCTGGCATAAATAATAGATAAATACAGAGAGAAAGGTAGATGGCGCAATTCAGACACAGCAAATACAAAAAAGTAACCAAACATAATACATAATATTAAAAAACTTTTTTTTTAATATTACAGTATATAAACATACATATATAATATAAATAATAATACATAAATATTATATACTAAATAGATCAAGTAAATCACACGTTAGTTACTAGACCAGATAAGAAGTAATTCTTGTATTTACAAAAAGGAAGAAAGTTTGAACTGCAATCAATATTAGTAGGTCACTCTTATATGATTTCTAATATTATAGGACACTTTTTACTGTAAGAAAATATTCCAATCTGCGAAAAGAAATTGTGGGTGTAGCTGGTAAAAAATGAATATCAGCAATAAATATCAAAATATGAGAATGTAGTTCAAAAATGTACAATACATTCTTCATCATCACCTCACTACATGCAGTTATGACTTTTATCATTTCTTATGGCAATCTCTAGTGGAATTTTACTTATAGTAGTGTATAATAAATGATTGAAATGATAATGATAAATATTTTATTGAATGTAAGTTCTGATATTTTTCTTTATTTCATCATTTGTATAGTACAAAAAAGAAATCAAGAAATAGTTACATGCTCGTCGATTTTAGACTTTTCAGAATAATATGACAGAAAATCTGAGAAGAAAAAAAACAGTAGAAAACAGAAACAAAAATAATTATATAAGTAATATAGTTTATTAATAGTATTTTTTCTATCAAATAAATAATAAACAATATAAAATAAAATTAAAAATTTCCAAAAAGTTTTTGTTGAGATGAGATGAGAGAAGTTATAATGTTTCGGGTTTTATAAGTCACTTTGCCACAAAGTCCTTTATATTGTAAAAGAAAGATAGCGATGAGAATTTATGCTGGTATTATTCCGATAGGACCATCAAAGCATAATTCTTTGTAATCTTCTACATTTTTCAGTTTTATTGCATTTGCTCCACAAAAAAAGTAATTATAATATATTTCTTTAAATAGTTTTTATCCGCTTAGAATTTATCTGCATGACCAAGAGGTGGGAGAGGGGGTTATTACGAATTCATCATCATTTTAGACGTTAACTATCCACTGTTGATGAGCCTTCACCGTGAGGGAAGTTTAGCAAGTAATTGCCACGTTTAGCATAGCATATAGTTGGCAACCGCAGTTAGGTTTTTAGAGATATTTTAAGCAGAATGTTGCTACCAATTCCTCTACCGTTAAGCTACTTTAGTTAGTTCTTTATTTCTATTAGTTTCCTCTTTCAGCACCCACTGGAAAGGAAGGGGTGACCTATTCAATTTCGGGACCACACGGAAAGTATTACGAATATTCCAAAATAAATAAAAGAGTATTTTAAAACTGTATTCGATATCCCTGTTATAACTCTATCAATATTAAACACTTTATTAATGTTTGCTTGGGAGAGTTTTCAGATTTGAGTAATCAATTCTAATTTCTCCTAAAATACGGTACGCATGAAGAACATTCACAATTTATGAATGAGTTTTCAACTTGTGAGTATATTTAGTTATAGAGTGGCTCATAAAAGAAATTATACATTTCAGTTCTTCCAAAAGGCCGCCCAAAAATCTTCGGACTACAGAAACAATATGAAATTGGCGATAAATTGTTATTGAACTGTACATCTCCACCCTCCCAACCTGAAGCACAGTTAACATGGCTCTTAAATGAAAGGCCAGCACCTGAGGAATATCTTATGGGACCATGGTACAAGATTAGTACAGAACATCCAGAGGCACCCATGCGAGCGAAATTAAAACTAAACTTCATAGTCAGACCAGAGCATTACGTGAATGGAGTAATGACGCTTAGAGTAAGTGTGTTTAATTTTATTATATCGACAACAATGAATCAATGATGACATAGATACAGTGATATTGACTTCTGAAAAGTTGTGCGGTGATGAAAATTTTAGATTACGTGGTAATAGTTAAACATATTTACTGGTATTTCTATGAAGACTTCTAATTAATAATGATCGCCCTGGATATATTACATAGTGTCATATAAATTTCAGCTATGTGTCATAAACATGAGATATATAGAGACTATTGTTTATAATGTTGACCATTTATAATAGTTATAATTATAGACATAGCATAACGTACTGCATACTGTCAGACTGACAATGCAATCACAAAATCGAGACAAGGAAATGGTTTCTTGGAATGATGATTTGTAAATTTATATATGTGTCAGGTTTGAATTTATATGGAGTTATAAAAATAGCAAAAAAAATTACATTAAAACTTTATTATATCGACTACAATATTATTTAAAAAGCTTTTGTTTTGTTCCAACAACTTAATATAAATATATATACATTTAGAATTACTGGTAGATTAGAACTCGTTACTATCAGATATTACGAGTATATATGGTATGAGTAAGGTTTTATATTCTTCTTCTTTGTTCTAAACAGTAATATAAGTATCTATGTATATTTGTTTACATGAACTCCACAGTAAAAGAGTAATTGTATTATTTTGTTACTGATTTAAAAACAACATTTAAGAAGAGAAGGTCACATAAAGACTTTTTTTGATCTTTTGTTTTCATATCACATACTATAGAAATTAAAAATGCATTGATGTTCTGATAAATAATATCCGGTGGGTAAACAAAATGCTCGCTTTCCATTATTTTATCCCACTTTTCATTTCCAATATGTGACCGGATCGACCGGAGCACATCGTTCAATCAACTGGATGGTAAATATTTTTAGATAAATCGCCTGAATTTACTGTTGCTATTTAGATGATTTATTTATCAATTTCTTTATTTTTATTTGGTTATTAAAAACTAATAATAATAAATGCTATTTTATGAATATAATAAAATTCTAACTAGAACATATCTGTATATAGGTTGCCGTCTATAATTATATATATATATATATATATATATATATATATATATATTATATATAATATTTATTTTAGAAATTTTATTTAACTGTCTATATGTACATACGTATGTATGTTTGTTTCGACATCACACAATTACTATTGCACCAAATCGAATGCGAATGTCACAAGTAATATAGCATTTATTTGTATTAATGCCCCTTTAATATTTTCAGTGTCGGGCGACAATAGCACCACTTTACCATCAAGAGACAAATTGTACGTACTACCTCAACACACCCACGGTAACCACAACTCTGGTCGCACCATCATTTGAATTCGAACAGATGACTGCAGAGGATAACAACATAGGTAACATCTCTAACAGTGCTAGTCTTTATCAATTGATGTGAATAAAGCCACAGACAATAAAGTTTTGTATGTCAAATTTATCAATTTTATTAATTTTGCGCAAACCAATTATTATTTTCTATAATAACGGAGTAAGAATATAAACATGAATACTCTTTTTAGTCACTAGGATGTTATCCCGAGGATGCTTCGTAGGAGTTTACTAAGAAAACGACCCTTCATTAGGACAAGAGAGTGAAAACTATAAATTTATAGAAAGCTGTCTTATGGATGTCCATATTATAGTATGTGATTAAAAATAGTTATAATTATATTTTAATATAATTATTCACATTGTAATTTCCAGGTAATTCAGCTATATCGGAAATTTCATTGAAGATACAGCGTTCATATGTTTTACTGTGGATAATATTAATATTTTTTACACTTTTATAATCTTGTTCAGCATTTAATTAATTGAGGATCAAATTGTCAAAGTAAGCAGTTAAGCAGTTATGAAAATAGCATTTAATTACTTGTTTAAAACATATACCTTTCAAGAATTTCCACGCTTGAATGCAGCAGTAATTTTATACGTCTATAATTACATTGTCTGTTATTTAAATAAAATATATTTTTTTAAATAATAAAAATAATTTTCAGTAAAATATTTGCATAGTCTGTTCATCAGTGTCGAATATGTACATAATATGTACTCGACATTGATCAATAGACAATGTACAATAATCCGATATGCCAGAAATATTAAAATTTACACTTAAGTTTCTTGTAACATATAGGTATACATATGTACATAAACATTGAATTTTTATATTATTCCAAATTATTGTATATAGTATAAAAATATGAGAACAGCTTTTAATATTTTCACTGTTGGTGGACCAATAAGAAAAGTATTGTTAATTATATTTGTACAGCTTTATATTTTAATTATATTTGTTTATTAAAATATGGTTTTATGATAAAATATTTTATTTACAGTATCAATGTCCATTTTTTTTATACAATTCGTCATGTTATTATTAATTAATATTTACAGTGTTTTCGAATATCAGTATCCAGATCCTCGAGGCCCGTTGGGTGCGCCGCTGGGGTATCCTTCTCCACCCCTAATATTAGTTTGTGGACCACCGAAAGGATAACCACCTTTACCTTTCTGATTATTAATTTTATTAGTATCTTGTGGATAGTTTCCATTATTCCTTTGGGAACCATTACGAGGATGACTTGGGCTATTACCTCGTGGACCACCTCTTGGATAACCCTCGTTACTATTTCTTGGATCACCTTTTGGATAACCCGTATTTCGAGTTCCTTCATTTACTGGGTAACCTCCGTTTCGTGATCCGCCATTAAGGGTTTCCAAGCCATCATTATTATTACCTGTTGGGAATTGTGGCTTATTTTCAAACTTATTCTGTTCTAGTCCTGGGAATTCATCTAGTCCGTTCTCTTCAAGTCTTGTTCTTGGATATCCCATAAAAGATTGCTCGCTTAATCCTGTCTTGCCTTGGGAAGCTTGTTGATATTTTACAGGTCTTCCATTTTGCGCTATTTCTTGTGAAACACCAAAATTGTTGTTATTTTCTGGGAAGCTGTATTCTGGTTCAGCCTGCGGGTATCCTTGGTTATCGCTTTGAGGTATTCTATCATTATCTAAAACATAACATGTTGTATATTAATTTTTATTTTATTCTAAAACTTAAGTGTTTCCATAGACGATAATGTAATAGTTTATGACAAGCCTCATGAGTTAGAGAAACGTCCTTACAATCTTTTTATTAATTTTAATATTAATGTATGACATTGATATTGGATCAATATGGTATTGACACTGAAATATAATGATATTATTAGTGTTTTCGTGATAGATGAAATATATTTAAATAATACTATATTACCAGGATTAGATCGTAAAGCAGCATTGCTTCTGCCACCTAAAATCAGACAAATAATTGAGAGACCACCAAAACTGTTATACAGTATAGTATCAACAAGAAACGTAAATATAACTGAAACTTTTTAAAAATAATATGAATGGGTTTGCTGGATTTAATTCTTGTAATGAACAAACCCTCATATCTTATTTGAGGTTTATATCCTTGCAGACCAGCCTCGTACTCGACAACCTGCTTTCTGCCATCGGGCAGTTCTACATTATATTCACCGGTGGCAGTGTCTCCGTCACGTTGTTCTGAATGACCAAATTTAGTACCTGTCTGGGCATCGTCGACTTCGTAATTAAACTCGTATTTAGCTGGTTCCTAAAATAAACATTTTTGTTAATTTGGATTTTTTTAGGTACATGTTTTATCTAAATGATATATTCTTACTTCAGATTGATTATCATCGAAAGTCAACTTTTCTTGATTGCCAGGTCTTCTACTACTCGAACCAGGCCCAAAATTAGGTGTACCGTACGATGAAGAGGGTGGACCACTGATAGGTTGATGATTACTACCCGAATCAGGCCCAAAATTAGGGGTACCATATAATGAAGAGGGTGGACCACTGACAGGTTGTTTTCCACTAAAAGTCTCTTGTCCTGAATTTGATTTAGAAAAAGATGGAATATTCATTCCTTGAGGTCCTCTAATAGATGGTTTATTTGGAGACATATAATTTCCACTAGGTGGGGGACCATAAGAACTCTCTGGTCTGAATTCTGACTCTTGTGAGCTAAAACTATTTACTCTATTATGAGATGGACTATTGAGATCATTATTGGTAGACCCGCCTATTGGTCTTCTGGTATTTGATTGAATTGATGGAGACTGATTGTTACTTCGTTCAGATGGTCCCTTTGCCTGTTCAGGTAATCCATATTGAGAGTTAGGAGCATTGCTGCTTTGAAATTTGCCTTGCGATTGTGATTGAGATCCAAATTGTGAAGAACTTCCAGGTCCTTGTTCAAAGTTTTGGCCTCTAGGAGGACCATATTGAGTATCTAACATACTTGAAGATCCTGTACGACCTGGTGGAAAGTATGAATTTTGAGGCTGATTTTGATTTCCACCAGTCTCAAGTCTATTTGACAACATATGCTCTAAACCAGAAGACCCAAACGGGGTAGATGGTCCACCGCCATTTCCTGAGGCCGGAGGTAGGTAACTATTTATCGGGGGCTCACATTTGGTTGTTGCCCATGTCAAAGCACTAATAAAAAGTATATGCTGAAAACAAAATAATAAATATTTAACAATAGATCATAAGCACACGACTGAAGATTTGATTTTTATTAAACTTACTAAAATCATTTCTTAAAGGATTAAAAATATGCTCAAAAAGTTTTAATAATTTCTTTGCAATGTCAAAGGAGATGTTTCAATAAGGTTTGACTATTGAATACGTCAGGTTTGAATATCTCGAGTTTATATAGGCAGATTTGAAATGAAGAGAGCGTGATATCAAAAGTAACGCAAGAGGCGCACGCGTGTCGTGGCTTTGCTTTTAATTTCGTGCATCTGCTGGGCCGTCACTGTGTCGCCGTCGCTTCGTCGCTGCTTGTCGTGAGATTCAATAGAACTAGTATGTAGCTGATAATGACTTATTTTATGTGACGAATCACGAAGTATTGTATATCTCGTATATAAATAAATTGCTATTTAAATAAATATAATTACTGTTGAAAATTTAGCACATTATCCAATGGAAATAAACACTTAATACATGTACAACTCCTTAATTAGCAATGAATACATTCATACTATATTATAGCCTTCACGTAGTTTATATCAATTAAGAAGTAAAAAAAGATCATAAATGTTTTTCATATATAATTTTGTGTTTTGCATTTGACTAGCTTTGGTAAATACAATATTCGACACATTATCAGAGGGAAACTACGCATAAAAGTCCTTTGCTTGAGTACCTCTGTCCCATTCATGTTTCTACCAGTCAATCAATACCATGAAGTAGTTATGATTACATTGTACTTATATTTATTATACTTATATACTAAGTTCTAGCTATATCAAAAGGATTACTACATATGGCGAACGCAGATCAAAACATTTTAGTCATTGAATGAAACAACTGTTATCATTGTCTGCATATCACGTCCGTAAGCGCAGAGAAACAGGATCTGTAGGAAGGATTGTGTGATCAGTGTCATCTCGCTAGTTAGTGCATATCGTGCGAACGTGTGGAGAATGGTGCAACAGAGGCGCATGATATATCGCTAATGTAGAAACCGACTCGGACAATTAGGCACGGTCTTCAAACCGTAGTAATATTATTAAAACAAAAACAACCTAATTTATGGAATAAAAGTCTACTTACTTATAGGTTTGTTTGTAACACTTTAATGTAAAGTAAGTTTTAAGGTAAAGTAATTTATAGGATACAGAGTTCTTAAGAAAAAAATTAGTACAATGGCGGACTTATTTCATAAAAGGGATTTTGAATTCAACTTTTGAATGTCTGACAGAGATTGGGCATTGTTGGAGTTGGAGTTACACTACTAACTTTTAATACCTATTAGTAATTAATGTTACATTATTTTATTATTTTGTAGAAGCACTTTGCAATTGTTAGTTTAATTATTTAAAAAAAATTCATTTTTTCAATTATTAGTTGTGTCCCGTAGCTTTGCTCACATCAATCAGTATAGAGACTTGTGTTAATTTAGGATATCATCTACCTGTAAAATATCTAAAAAATAATATTAAATATCTTTTATTTCATTTTGCCGTTTAAGTATAGTTGAGTAATAAACATATAATTTTTTTATAAATATTCACATTTTTAATATTAGTATGAATAGTACTTGGTAATTTGTAAATTCATAAAATCTGTCGATTTGTACCTAAATGTAGATTTAAGCTATTTGCTATATGTGAAGATGTAGGCGTTATATATATATATATATATATATATATATATATATATATATATATATATATATATATATATATATATATATATATATATATATATATATATATATATATATATATATATATATATATATATATATATATAAAATTACGGAAAGCTTTTAAAAGAAATTTTAGGATATATCCTAATTTAAATAATATGAAACTACGTAATGATGCAGGAGGGCGAAGTCGCAGGCTATATTTAGAAATATTTAATTATTATACGAGGAGGGATCAAAAAGTAGTGAGAACGACATACTCCTTGGTAAAAAAAAAAAATAAATACTGGCAGGAATAGCTCAGAAACATATTTGTAATATTAATAAAAAAAAACTTCGATTCTCTTTTGTTTTTGTCTGAATGTAGTCATTTGCTTGCTTTGTGTCGGAACGTGTTCTCGAAAATGAAGGAAAACGAAGTGCGTTAAGTTTAATACCTCTATTTAAAAAAGTTAATGACGCAAGAGATTCATTGCGATTTGGAGACAACATTAGGAGAGTCTGCTCCGCTGTATTTCACTGTCGCAAGGTGGGCTTCTCAATTTTGAATAGGGAGAACGAGCACGGAAGACAAACATCGTTGCGGCCGTCCATCGACGTCAGTCACCCAAGAAAATGTTGCGAAAATCGAGAAAATTGTATTGAGCGATCGAAGAGTTACCATCCGATACTTAATTCAAGAAAGGGACATTTCATATGGAAGTATTCAATCCATATTGAAACAATCTTTGAATATGAGAAAAGTTTCCGCAAGATGGGTGCCGAAAATGTTAACTGATAGTCAGAAACAAAATCAATTTGACATTGAAAAGATATTGTTGGACTAGTTTCAAGAAGATTCTCAAAACTTTTTGTCTCGTTTTGTAACAATGGACGAAACATGGGTCTATCGTTTTGATCTCGAGATAAAACAGCAATCTTCGCAATGGAAACGGCCATCATCACCGACTCCGAAGAAGTTTCGTGCCGTGGCATCGGGTGGCAAGGTTATGGCTTCAACATTTTGGGACTCAGAAGGGATATTGTTGATTGATTACCTGGAGCGTTGAGCCACTATTACAGGCCAATATTATGCAGCTTTAATTCCCAAGTTGAGGAATGCTATCAAAGAGAAAAGGAGAGAGAAACTTCGAAGGGGCGTGCTGTTTCATCACGACAACGCACCCGCGCACAGGTCGACAGTTGCGATGGCTGACATTCAGCAAGTTGGCTTCGAATTTATTGACCACCATATTATTCACCAGATCTGGCGCTTAGCGATTTTTATCTGTTCCCCAAATTGAAAGAATACTTAAGAGGAAACAAATACGAAGACGATAACGAGGTAATAGATGCGTGGAGAGTTTTTTGCAGGACCAAGACAAAACTTTTTTTTAAAGGGATTGAAGCCTTAGAAAAGCGCTGAACTCGGTGTGTAGAGAGACTCGGAGACTGAGTAGAAAAAAAAAAATTATTAAGTTATTATTAAGTTATTAATAGTCATTATATTCTATCTCATTCTCACTACTTTTTAATTCCTCCTCGTAGTTAATGTACTAAAAATAGATCACGTTAAAAGTAATTGTAGTTGGCGATATATGTAAATAGACTGTTGAATGTCGAAAAGTCGAAGGAGTTCTGTTTGAATCATAGTCTTAGTATAGAATCATAGATTTAGATGAGCTTAGATTTTGAATTATTCTTTCATCTGTCATTCTTCACTATTGCCCCTCCAGCGTATATCGATAGCGTACCACAGCTTATCATTCTGTTATCATCCTACACTCCTGAAAACCATCGTAGTTAATTCCTGAGGAATTTGTAACAATGAACAAATTGGACTTACTTCAACTCACTTAACTGTTACCCCGCTAACGTATACCGATAGCGTAAAAAAAAAATTTAGAAGTGGCGCCCTCTAATAGGCCTGATTTGCACGTTATCTATATTTTACATAAGTAAAAGTCTCATGTGGCCATCATGTAAAGTAGCCTTGTAGCCCCTGGTATAGACTAGGCCACCCCTTCCTTTCCTGTAGGTGTCGTAAGAGGCGATTAAAGTAGGGCGAGGGATAGGAGGAAAACTACTGGCAAAACCCCCCAAGCGGGAGGCTTATGTTTAGCAGTTGCAATTAAAAGTTGTTATGATGATGGTGATGATGAAAAGTCTCATTGATTGATTAGAATACATTTAATGAATACATATCTACTAATGTCATAAAAAAAAGGTTGTTTATAATGTTATGAATATATTCACTAGGATACCTATATACATAATATAAATATGAAAAATTCTTGAAGGTATTTGGTTATTTAACACTTGATAACTCTGAAATAACTGAATGAATTTGAACGAAATTTGATACAGAAGTTAACTATATCACGGATTAACACACATGAAACTTTTATCCCAATTCTTATAGGAAGTTCGTGAGTTTTGACTAAAATTATGTACATAAATAAATTTTATTTCACGCGAGTGAAGCTGTGATATATAGCTAGTACTACAAAAACAAATACATTATGATAATTCTTGCGAAAACGTGGAATTATGGGTTCTTCGAAATTTATTATGAAATGAAAAGGTACAACGAGATTTCGTGTTTTCAAAACAGCTCTGTCTCAATAATACACATAAAATTAAATGCATTGTTTTAATTATATACTGTTAAAACGTACAAATTTAACAATACAAAGCAATATCAGTGGTAGTATTTACAATTAATGTTATTTTAAAAAACAAGTACTATGTATATGTAAAATGTGGACTATTATATGCCTCATTTTGTAACTTAGGTACTTATGTAGGTATAGGTATAAAAGTATATATAGTTATAAAAGTTGTAGGTAATATTCCTTTTTTGTGGGAAGAATGCCACATTATATTATAGGTTGATAAGACAAGTTAATCTAGTATTTACAAACAAGTTTTTTTTTAAGTTATCACCTCTTAATGGAATATATTAACCTACTATTAATGAATGAATGAAACTTAATTCATTCATTCATTCTATTAATCATCGTGCTGACCATCTGACTCGGTAAAATGTTTTACTTAGTTCTTTTTTCGTTTGAACCAGTTAAAAAATAATACATATACATATTACAATAATAAAAAGCGATGTTATCATTAAAACAAATTTTTTCCGACAACCTTTGATAACTATCTTAATTCTAAATACCTAAATTACAAACATATTTCTTGAATCGAGATTTTACTTTCTATATAAGAAGGCAACATTAAATTTAGCAGATGTTCCCGCTGTCAAGGTATAGTTAACGATCCTTAGTAATTTATATTTGAAAGTTTGTCCTGACTGACTATCAACACACAGCCACTATGTCTAGAAAACTGACATTTGTAACATAGATATATTTAGTGTAAGTATCCGCTTAGAAAGAAAGCACAACGTCGCGCATGCAAAGTCGCGGGCAACAGGTAGTAATTACATTACATATAATTTGTTTGTTACTTATCTCACAGCGCTTTACAATCGCAACCAATCGTCATGAAATTTGACATATAATTGTATCTGGCATTGACTATTTTAATTGATTGATAGTATAACCGCAATATAAGGAACTTAGGAAATAGTTGTCTAAATCACTCTTAGCCATTGTTTTTCAACAATTTTTATGTCTCGACCCACGAAAAAGTCGAAAGGTTAAGTAAAAAGTCTTGCGACCTCCTCACTATTATATAATAATATTTTGATTGATAATTTTCTTAATTATTAATCAATTGGATTAATGAAAACAAAGTCTTTTCCCAGTATACACTACTGTCACGCCACTACACGCTTGTTACACAATAGGTGACAACAAGTGATGTCCAACAAAAATCGTCCATCAACAACTACTAATAAATGGTTTTAGCTATGAGTTCTTATTATTTCTCAACAGACTGTGACCCCCTTTAATAAGAAACGCGCCACCCTAATGGTTGCGACCCCCCGGTTCAAAAACGATGCTCTAAGCTATAGTATAACTATAAGAATAAATATCTCAATATTCTTTATTCTCATAATATAATCTAGTATAATAAGCGAATTGTTAACAACTCTAATTTGTCAGAGGTAAACTTCTGTAAGACTAAATTTAATACTTTAAATAAATAACTTTTCATGTTAAACAATCCACGAGAACACATCGGAATTAAAAGTATCTCTTCACAACCTATTACACTGTACTTAATGTTAAGATTATTTTCTATTAGTTTATTACCCGTGAAGATTTAAATTATAACTTTAAATCTGTGATTTAGATTTGTTTGCAATATTTTCAAACAGACTTTAGAGAGGAAAACAAATGCATTTATTAATTTATTTATTAGAACGTACCTTACAATTTGTTGTAAACTTGAATTGGGATATTTTATTTACTTACTTATGTATATAATATGTGATATTTAATCATTATGTATATATAATACTAATGGCACTGTTTATGTCTGTTTCGGTATAATACAACAACATTGTAAAATAAATACATCAAAATATAAATTAAAGATACTGAAAAGTCCATAAAGTTATGAAACCCAACAGCCAAGGAATCTAGAATTCGAATTTAGTCCTCAAAACATACATTAAGTCAAATCGTCAAATTAACTTGTTCTAAGTGCCTGGTAAGGAAAATCTGTGTAATAGTCTAGTAAACTTATCTCATTTAATAACAGGCGACAAATTCACTATCTTTAGCATATTAGGTATCATATTAGAGGGTATATTGGATTCGAATATATTTACTGAAGTGTTATTTTCATCATAATGGTAACAATCAACTAATGACACAAATATGTATATATTTTATGTATTTATTTATACTCGTATATGTAAAACAAAGTCATTTGTAATATGTACTTTGCAGATGGAATATGTAATTGTACTGATTAATTAGTTTTTTAATATAATTGTAAGAGTTTATTATTATTTTTTAATATAATTGTAACGTATTTAATTATGATTTAATAAAATTGTTGTGAGAGAAATAAATAAATTAAACAATACCCAATATCGTCGTATTTTTTTATGAATTCTATTTTTATAAATATTCATAACAAATCACAGAACTCATTATACTTACTAACTAATAAGTGTTATGTCAATATAACCTTATTACCAATTCGAAGTTGGCATTATAATCAACTATATGATAGCCACGGATGAAAAGTTGTGTAATTAAAGCTATTATTTATCCGAGTCGCTTATTGATTTATCTAAAAACCTATTCAAGATACCGTAGAGATCCTCTGTAAATTGACTACGTCTTTATTTTTCTTTTTTCCACGGAAATGCTCCTCGATTTCAGCCAGTGACTTTCCCTTAGTCTCGGGCACCATTATAAAAACAAATACGAAGGCCAAAGCACAGAAACAGGAGTACATCCAGAATGTTCCAGCAGACGTAAGCAAGCTCTGCAAATAAAAGGATATAGTTTACATAATTTGTTCAGGGTTGCACAGATGGCGTTATTTACTAATTAGTATTTTTAATAAATAAAAATGTAATGATTACCCTGCCTGCGTTATTGATTTACTGCTGGCGGGGTACTATTAAGAGAAGATGAGTAAGAATAAAGTCAAGTCAGTTGGCCCATCATGACAAATTCGTTAGGAAATAACCACGATGGTTTCCAAGGTGGACCGTGTTGAAATTGACCTGACTAGGTATATCGCTATCATGGGACCATTTTACTCTATCATTAACAATTATTTTCTTTACATTTGAGCTTGTTAACTGTTTAGCCATCAATGCCTTGCCTTTCTCATTTATTTGGGATCCGCTCAGTATACTTCTTCTTCCATGAATCCCTGTCATCTGTCATACATGGACTCACTACTTTTATGCATATCATCTTTCATACAATCCATACATCTTTTTTTCGATCATTTCCTTCCCTTATATCAGTCCATATTCACACAATATTTTCCTTAATTAGCTAGTTAGTATTACTATTGGTATAATACATACGTCAAGAGTATGATACGTCTTGATCACGCTGAACATGGAGATCAAGTTAACGGCACTGGCCATAGCCGACAGCTGGGAGCGGTAATGCGTGGGGAACAGTTCGCCTAGCAGCAGGAATGGAAGACCACCAAAACCAATGGAGAAACCCATCATGAACACCACTAAACTCGCTATAGGTAGGTACCTGAAAACAAACGTTAAGTTAGTTTATAAAAATATTATGTTTGGATGTTCAAATTAGTATAAATGTAAACCATAGTTTGTTTTAGATTATATTAGGCTATTTTAAACCGTTATTTACGAGAATAAAGCCAACAACACTAAGGTTGTCCATAAGTCACGGTAATCATTTACTGTTGTTTGTTTTGTGCTTGTTTATCACCTTTGTGGTGTAAAATGAAAATGAAAAAGTTACCCAAGCCACGTTTCTTTTTCGAATTCGAAGTAGAAAGATGATCCCATAGCTGCCATAGCGACAGACATGACCGCAGCGGAGACCAGCAGCAGGGGCCGCCTCCCAGCGCGGTCCACCAGCGATACACTCACTCCATTGCTCAGTAGTTGCACTAAGCCGATAATGATTGTGGCTGTCATTGCATCTAATGTGCTTCCTGGAAAAATATGATAAATCCTAAAACTGTAGTGTTGCCTATTACTATATTTTGCAGTGGCAACCCTAAATGAGTGACGACTTTTAATGTGTTACAGAAATGTAATGTGAATCTCCATATATGAGCCATTCCTGAGAACTATGGTGCTATACCTCTGTGCCCTATAATTTCTCTGCAATACCCCCACCTTCCAAATCGACGTACGGCCACACACATACAGTTGCTTCACGATAAAAACACGAATGAGACAGTCTGTGTAAATATTTTTTTATAACATCTCCTTCTAAAATTATGGAAACTTAAAATGAGTATACAAGAAACTTACTTTATTAAAATAATAGAAATATAGAATTATGTGTTAAGGATTTATCATCATTATTATCTTAGCCATTATCTATATTTCAGGATTAATCTAAAGAAATTAAATACAACTGATTTATTTTGTTTTTATATCCCTAAATAAAAATATCTTGAAAGCCCAAATATTTATTATTTATAAATATTTTATAATTTTCTTTCATTATCATCATCATTATATGAGCTGTTAACTGTTCAATGCTGAACAAAAGTTATTCCTAAACGGGGATTTTTGGCAGCAGTTGCCAAGCGATGAAGGCGGGTTGGCCACCCATCCCTCGATCATTAAGTTTCTTTAGTCGCACCTTACGACACCCACGAGAATGGATGGTAGCCAATTCTAAATACTCGGACCACACGGCAATTATGACTTTCTTTGCTTACCTGCATTCTGGAATATTTCTACTGTGAAGAATATGACAGCGTCTATACCGCTGAACTGCTGGAAGATCAGTAAGGCGAATCCAACAATCAAAGGCTTCAGTACAGCCGACGAAAAGAATACTTTACGGGTGAATAATTTTGGTGGCGTCGGCGACTCGATTTTCCTGAAAGATAATATATATAATTTGTAATTCAACAAATTACATAAGAAATTATAAAGGAATCACTCATAATTATTTATCACGCAAAATTGTATGAAAAAGTTGACTCGCTTTTCTCAAAGTATTTGTATGAAGACACTCTATCTAAATAATCTAAGAAAAACATATACCATCTGGAAATTATTATTAAGTCTTTTTTTAATTTAATAACATTGCCATTAGTACATAGTTACTGACGAAATAAATATTTTGTATTGAAGTTTTCTTATTACATATAAGCCTTTCTATATCATCATACTTAATCATAATTATTAATTGACGTAATGTCTTTAATCATAATAACACTATATGCACAGTGCAAAGAACTCTTTCAAGTAAGTATCATATATAAGTATGAAATGAAACGTAGAACTCACTCTTCAGGTTCATCCTTAACAATGACAGTAGCTCGCGGTGAGAGATGCAACCACTTAACTGCTTCTACCGAATCACATCTTTGTGTGTCTAACCAAACTGGGGATTCTGGCAGCGGCAGTAATAGGATGAAGAGTATCACTAAAATTAAGTATGAAGACAATAATGAATTACATAAATCAACAGAGCGTGTGCGTGAAGAATTTCTAATATTTACTTTAAAAAATGACATTTTTTTATTTACTATTAGAAGTTTAGGTAAATAAGAAGCATATTTTTAATTAATTGATAATTTTTGTCACATATCAAATTTTTAATATGAAACTTGACAAAATCTATCGATGCGCAGACTAGATTAGTATACATCATCGTTATACTGGTAATAAATAATTTATAGATCATTATAAGAAATAAGGAATGGATAAAATTCATGATCAATTGTAGACACCTAATAGAAAATTGATATTATCCTTTAATTATTTAAGAAATTATTTTCAGTACACCGGACCCGGTAGTGGTTTTGTTTCAGGTTTTTTGTTGGACTGATTTTATTGACTTTCTTCTTGGAAATAAAAAGTGTGGTGAAATAATGTTGTGCTGTGTACATGTGTATACTATATTATATGTAGATAAAACTTTTTTATTCTAACAATTTAGAACTCATTAGTAGACTGTCTATCGTAAATTAAGAACAGTACCTACTTGTGGTTTCATCATGTATGACACGTCAAGCACTCTTGATGTCATAGAATAAAATGTGAGGGACATGGTACTCCTTGCCTATTCCTTAATACTGAATTATATAATTTCGTACTTAGTATTTTCACTATAAAAATAAAAGTAATGTAACGTTACCATCATTAGATTTAATTTTTAGATCTTTTTATATTACTCCTAGTAAGTACATATCAGCAAAGATTTAAATATATTTATATGTTAAATTACTTTAGAACCCATATAAAAAAGTAAAGTAATAGATATAAAGTAAAAACTTGTAACTCACCACAGAAAACAGCAGAGAAAAAAGCGAGGTATCGCCACTGAAGCCAATTACCAGCTATGTACGACAAGAGGATGCCAAATGACATTGAGAGAGTAGGTAGGGAGCCGAGCCGACCACGGATCTCTGGGTCGCAGCATTCACTCACCTGCAAGGAATATATAAACGGTCATGAAAAACAATTTTAACTTTTATTAGAAAGAGAACTGCCCATATCATAATAAACCAAAATAAATCCTTTTAAACTGCGAAATGTTTTTTATTATTAGCGTCTGCATCTATTATCTGCATATATTTTCACTCAAAAACAACAAAAACATCACTGTTTTAATAAGATACATCTTTATAATTCCATTAAAAAAAATAAAGCAACAAAATGACATGAAATTAATTGAGTATAAGTTTTGTAGCTCACGCTCTCATACTTATGTGTGAGATGAAGAGATATTTTATAGATATTAGCAATATTTAAAAGGAATACTGGAGACGATGAGCGATTAAGATAGAACCTTCTTTCAGAAAATTATAAACACATAATATTATTTTCTTTTGTGTAACTTTTTTTTATACAACTTAGAATGGCAAACAAGCTGACGGCCCACTTGATGGAAAGTGGTAACCGTTGCCTATAGACATGAGCAGTACCTTGGACATAACAGAGTATACTGTTTCGCCCATGATACCCCTCCATGCGTTGCTATTCCTGAGGACTCAGGTGTTATTCCTTTGTATCCTGTACCCTATAAATTCACGCCATATCCCACCCTTCAAACCGAAACACAGCCATGCATACACAACTGCTTCATGGTAGAAACACGAATGGGACAGAGGTACACAAGCAAACGACTTTTGTACAAAGTCTCTCTCTGGTGAACGTTATACTACTTCTACTACTACTAGTTGTGAATATAATAGTATTCATGATATTTTTTTATTATTATTATTTCAGCCGTTAACTCCCCACTGCTGAACATAAGCCTTCCTCATAAGGGGAGTTTTGTCAGTAGTTGCCACGCTTGGCAAGTGGGTTAGCAACAGCAGGTAGGCTTTTAGAGATGTTTTAAGAAGGTTGCTGCTGTTCATCTCTCGCCCTCCCTTAGTCGCCTCTTACGACACACACGGGGAAGGAAGAGGCACCCCATTCTATGCCAAGGTATACACGGCGAATTAATGATTTTAATGATATTAATAATATATATATTAACGAGTCTCATTTATTAATAGCATTATTAATGATAGAAGGTAAACATTATTATTAATATTTTCTATTAGGCCATTTACTTCATTTCAATTTTAGATATAAAAAAATAAGAATCTCAACAATTTAATGTCTATTAAAAATATTAATTAATTAATTCATACACTGCACGCTTTAGCCAATCGCATTCAATTTACATTATGTCTTGAAGTGCCGAAATCCTCATGTGCTCTGAAGGTTAGTAAGGTTGTGAAACCTGATCAAAGTAAAATTTACGACATCAACATAAGTTTAGTCTCAACAGGTTTCACAGCAGTCTCGAACGTTATTAAGAATCTTAATTCGAGTTCAATAAGCATATAATATAAATGTGTATATTTAGATTTTTTTTTTAATGAAGATGGATTGGTATTGTCGCCTATGTTAGTAATATGCAATGGCCGGTATCAGTATCAGTGAATCATGAAACAATGAGGAAAAAGTCAAACCAGTTGTTCCATCTAAAAATGCCGAATTCGCTGTTTATTAACTAAGTTTGTTTCCAGCGATACCGCGTGAAGGTCAATCGGGTATATTAATGGTTATGAGTACTATCCTTCCCAATACTGTCTTTTTTGGTGGAATGGGATTTTAATAATAGGATCTAAAGGCCCCATTGCTAGCAATATACCCTATCAGGTCGACTTTTACGCGATTTCCCCTTTAAACAATCGTAGTTATTTCTTGTTCAATTCGTCACGATGGGCTAACTGACCTTCTTTAATTATCATTTATTATTATTATTATTACTCACTGGTGCCCCGACTCATTAAAAAACAAACTGTTCCTCCCAAGTTGTAACGGCTGAGGCCCTATTTTAGGCATAAATAACATTAAATAAAATTTCATACATGAGTGTATTAAAATATAGCAATTTTATCATAATGGCATGCATTAGAATAAAATAGAACAGAATACTTTATTTATTTTCAACTGAATACAGTTGTTCATGTACATAGATCTTAAAAATACATGCGCAATGTCATGGGCAATTTGTAATTATTCATATTCGATAAAATAGGCATATACATGCTTATTTTAGTTTTTAAAATTATCCAAGGAAATGGTTTATATGAAGATCATCCTGTAAAACATATAATCAAGTATTTATGTAAAATAATATATGAATTATTATAGTCACCTATGTTGTAGTCTTTATTTATTAAAAGTATTATATATTTCTTGATAATATATTTGTTATAAATGATTAAACACGGTTACAGTACAAACACTGTAGTTACAGTAAACACGAATAAAGGTATCATTTATTTATAACTACTAGTCAATGTATTTATTATGAGGATGCCCACAAAATAGAGGACTATTGTTCGTACAGTACTGATGCGTACATAAGTTCCTATTTAAAAACGTGGTCTTTATTAACCATTCACACACTATTTTTGTGCTATACGTACGTCAATTTTCAGCTGGAATTAAAATTAATGCTTTATTTTTATGTATTATTTTAAAAGAAATGGACAACCTTGAAGATAAACATTATTTTTCATTATTATTAGATGTCGTTGTATTTCAAAGTCTTTCCAGAGTCACGCAATAATTACAAATACTATTTACCTTGTTTACTCGAAAGGAGTGAGTGCATCTGCGCGCGAGATTTGCAGTTGCGTAATTTAGGTTTGATATAAGATTTTACATCAAAATAATAAATAACCTGTAGTGTAAAATAATAAATATAAATACACTATGATGTACACTGTACTATAAATTATTTTGACATCGTATTCAATACCGTCGTCATACTGTATACAATAAGAGATGATTACATATGACTACTACTCGTAATTTCATCAATGTTAATTTTAATGATATCACATGTCTTTTTTATTCAAGTCAGTTCAATAGTTTTGTTTAATAATTACTTAGTGTTTTATCTTTTTACTTTATTTTTTTATTTTGATACTAAGTATAATGTGCATTAGTATACACATGGGTATGCATTTTTTTGTCTGTAAATATATACTTAGAACACAATGTTTACTTACATAAACTTGTGCCGGTGCTAAGACGAATCCAACACATAATCCCGACATAATACGACCCAGAAGGATTAATGGGAATTGATTAGCAAAGCCTAAAATGAGCCACGCTGCCAGCCAAAGAGGCGCAGCAATTTGCAAAGTTCTCCGTCGGCCAGCACGCTGCATCAACTCTCCAGATATAAGACTACCTGTGAAGGCACCCAGCGGTGGAATAGCACCTGAAAAATAAATTTAAAAATAAATTCGATATCCCGTCAAAAATTCAGAATAAGTATTCACTACGTAATAAAAGTCGGCATAACACTTATCTATATTGATGGAACTGGAATAGGTATTAATCTATGCATTCACCTAAAAAATCAACACAATAAACGATGGTTTATAGATTTATAGATAAAACTTTATAGTACTTTTATCTATTTATACTATTGTCTATATATATTTTAAATATTGAAATGACCAACCAGGAGTGCGTTGTTTATTTTGGGAAGCGTTTACAATCCTGTTGTCCTACTAATATTATAAAAAAGTAAACTTGTAAAGATATTTGTATATTAGTCATTCAGTCATGTTTAAACGGTAAAATAGTTTGAATGAAATTTGGTAGGTACACAAAAACCATTAAAATAATAAATATTCTTTGGTAACCTTTTTTCTTAGTAAAAAGTAATTTAATTTCCTACTTACCAATCCATGATTTTTGTTCATTAGACTGTATGAGGTGGGGATTTAGATGCTCTATGGAAGGGATGGCTGAAGCTGAGTAGCCTCTCACCAATCCAATTATTAGAAAAGCCAATGATGCTCCCAAAGTCAGCCATAACTGCAATAAATAGTACAATATGTAAATAAAGAAATGCTATTATAATATATATTTCGGACCTGATTCTCTGCTGACTCTGCTTCGTTAAATCTATAAAAGCTTTTATACAATCATTATTATAACAAATTATAGTAGTAATTATTTTTTAAACGACTACAAAAAGGGGAATGTTCTCATTTTTACTGTATAATATTTTCTTAATTTATGTGAACATAGATTGTTATTATAAATTACATTATTTTAAATAGTTTTTATTTAATTTTGATTACTTTCGTGTTGCTGGAACAAATTTAGCAATTTGTCGAGATCATTTTTAAACGACTTCAAAAGTGAGGAGGTTTTTAATTCAAGCTTAGATTCGAACCGTATCGAACATAAGTTTTTATTTATTTACTTAAAATATTTTCGTTTAATTTTACACGAATTTCGACGATTCGATTATATAAGTATATAAGTGTATTAATTACTATGTATGTATGTGATTCTTTATGTAATTGCCCTTCGCGATTCATACAGGCGCACTAATGAAAAAAATATTTCACTTTCTGTATGATTTTTTAAACATATTCTTTCAACTTTACATATATTATTATTTAAATCAAATATGTGTAGTCCCTCTGAAATGATGCCAAAGAGCATAGTAATATAACGATGATGCGTTTGTTTTATATTCATATAGAATAAGCTAAATATGTGTATCTATTTTAAGATACCAAAGAAGTTTTTGAAATAAAAATAAAAAAGAGCCGAAGTTCCCGATTCTGGAGTAATGCTTCGTCACTGGACAGACCGGGTTTGCAAAACGTGACTCGACTCAATGGGTAGGTTACCATTATGTTTTTTATACCATTGCGAAATAAGCAGTTTCCTTAAAGTATTTTTTCTACCGCCGTGCATTACCTATGCACACATTAAAGTTGTTTTATGATAAATAAGTTATTATATTCTCACGCCTTTTTCCCTTTGTGGTAGGTAGGAACCATTGTGGCTATATGCTTCTATTTTGATGTATTTACATTCCTAATTTTCTTCACATTCATACATGTCTATAAGATGTCTATATATAGGTTTGTTGGTTTTTTTTTGTCCGTAATTTTTTTTTAGAATTTTAGCAATTTAATCTTTTTAACGTCATTTAATATCTAAAAAGTGTGTAAGAAAATTGCACTTATATATTTTTATAGGAATTCAAGTTTTAAGTATTTTGTATAATCAAATCCTTTAATGCAGGAAGTACGATATACATTATAAAAATAACCACGAATTAAAGATTATAACACTTTTGAACCGCATATATTTATTTACATATGTTAGCGATTTCATCGAGTTAAAATCCATGCTGATTTTATTTCACTGGATATATTTACGTAAACAGAGTAAATTTGTAAAAATTATATAATCAGAAATTATCGTCAGCATTATCGAAACTGGTACAGAACCATACCGTATATTATAAAAACAAAAAAAAATGTAATCGAATCGAGAACATCCTCCTTTTTTGCGAAGTTGTATAAAAAAGTAATCGATGTTGCGATAAAAACAAACTATTTGGCTGTACTTTATAGAGTAATAGTGTTCTGTGACTGTATTAATGGTTATAAGAAATACAATGAACATGTATTTTTACAGCCATTAGAAAAGAACTAGTCAAAGGCAATCAGCTTAACTTCTCGAGACTTAAGTGCCTTATGCTATGCAGTCAACGTCGACGACAACTAAGTATAAAGTATATGTAAGTGATTATTTAAAGTAATCATAAATAAGGTAAATCTAGTCAGCAATAATGTCAATGTAACCAGAGTATAGGTATAGTGCAATCTACAACTTTGCAAGGTGTCTATTCCGGTTGATCATCTGTTTAATCTCTAATACATGATTCAAGGATAGCACATAAAATTTAAATATTATTTAGAAAGTAGTCGTGTGTTTCTGTGTTTTTGTAAACTGAGAATTTTTAACAGTTTCTGTATTAGGTTTATTTAAAATGCAAATTGGACTACATACCTAAATACTGCTCATCGATTTTATTAAAAATAACAGGTATAAGTAGATATGATTCCGCAAAATCAAATGGAGTCAGATTCACAAACCGAGGGTCCTGTATAGAAAATAATGTTTTATTTATTTATTCATTTTACATACTTGGTTAAGCTGACAAACCAAATTCCTGCATTAAAATCTATGTGTAAATAGACTGAATTCCTTTAGATAAAAATTTACAACCTTGGTCGTATACTTTCCAAAGATTGTGGCACAATACAAATGTATACAAACGTTAATTTCGTTTGTACATTGTATCTAGAATCAATTTATAATACCATATTCAAATAAATACCGTTGTATATGTATATTACACAGCGCTATCTATAAATAGAGGTGGTACTATGACTATTAGATAGCTGATATTTTTTTTATTTTATTTTATTTTAATATTACATCTGCAATCAACAGCTTATATCTAGAATAATTAAAAATATTATATTTACACCATACATCAGCCAATTACAGAACCTCAATTTGTATACCAGACAATATTATGCTTATTTTTGGAGGGTAGGTTAAATTAAATAGAAAAAAAATATTAAAATAAAATCTATGGAGATACTTATTTGAAACGTGATATTATTTATCGATATTATTAGATACTTATTTATCGCTATTATTAGATACTTATTCATCGCATCACTAGAAGTTCAGCAATAATTAGTGTGTTATTTGTGTGTGTAGTTGTAGTGTAGTTGCATGAATGTGCTGTACAAAGAAACAAAATGTCATGTGGTGTAAAAAAAATGTATTGTGTGCGTATTGTTTTGTATAAAGGAAGGGTTACATGCAGCTTATTTCATAGCTTTAACAATTTATCGTAATTTTCTTAAATATATATATATATATATATATATATTTTAATGTATAATGATTATATATAAACATGTTAATATTGTTTTATGTTTAATGTTTTATTCATGTACCTAAATACTTTACATAAAGAAAACATTTCTACTTTATTCGCCCACTATTCCTATATTATTTCTCCTCGCTGCCCACTAAGACTTATGGCGATGATAAAAAGTATTTAAATTGTCCAGTTATTTCATCAAATAAAACTGCTCGAAAATTTATTGTTGTATTGAAAGTGTGCGGAAAGTTATCGTAGTATAGGTATAAATATGTAAAAATAAAGTAAAAAGCATCAGTAGCTAATTAAGAGTAGTGGTCCTAGTTGAAAACACCGCAATATCCTTATCTAAATTAATATCATAATAAAGATTTGATCTTGCGTATTTTTGATTATAATGAATAACTCAAAATACTTATTTAAAAAAAATCTATCACTTATATCTACTCGTAATAAGCTATATCAGAGAGTACCTAACATAGGCGGCATAATATTTAAGAACAAATTGGAGATCCTTACATTAATTGCAATAATGTAATCCAAGGTATAAAAAATTTGTCTATAAAAGTTATTAATTGGCAAACGCTGCAAAAACTATTGATGATACACAAAATAATCTACCTTCCACATTTTCATAGTACTTATCATTACTAACAAAAAAGTTCGTATGACTATTATAGTGACAATAACCGTTTTTTGTTCCAATTAGACAAACAAAATATGAGTAGAATCGAAAGAAGACATTCGGGTCATGATATTATAATTAGCGAACTGAATGGTATCATAATTAAGATTGATTATGTACATGTTAATTCTTCTTTAAAATATTCGAATCGGTTTTGTTTGTTTAAAAGTTACGACAGATATAAAAAATCTAAGAGTAAAAACATAGTGCTAATATATATATTTTTAAGCGAGTTTAATTACTTACTTTATCAATTTATTTATAAACTTTTACATTGCATAAATTATATAGTTCGAATATGTTACAAATATTAGGTCTACAAATTTAAAAAATAATTTGGGTAATTCATATTAATTTTTAATTTAATTTTATTTTATTTCTATCTCAATGACACTTCATATATACATTTTACAAAATAGAATATACATATATAGTCCACCATTGGAAGAATCCGTACTAGGATGCTTTGTGTTACGGTATTCTGGCCCCCACACTTGGCCGCTGGCTATACAAAAAACAGACAAATAAAGCATAATATAAAAATCAATTATAAAAGTCCAATAATAACAATAAAATAAAAAAAGCACAATATTGCAAAATCAGGAACATAATTCCAAGTACAAGTACAGTGTATATAGATCGTAGATTACTATTATACCAAGAGGTGTAGATAAAGATGTGAGGTAAGTGCCTACGCAGCACTATTGTACATTTTGGTTAAACAATTGTATTACCATATGAATACTGTTTTGAGATTACTATACGCAATTCTGTTTATCGACATAGTTTCTGTGATGTAGATGGGTATGAAGTCGTATTCGGATCGAATTAAATCAATTCATTTCGATGACACAAAAAATTGTTATTTATTTTAAATAGTGAGAAGTTTTTTAAGTACACTTTATACTCATAAACCCTTTTCTGTTATTTCACATATCTAATATTAGGGTTTAACGCTGACATAGTATTATTAGTTGGCCCATCGTGATGAGTTTACTAGAAATTGACCATGATAGTTTCCAGTGAGTTACGACATGGATATCTAACAGGAAGAACGACAGGGTAGATAGATACCGGCGTTTACAAATAAAGCAGGCGGGGGGTATACTACCATTCCATTTTCATCTATTAAAAATAAATATATCTTACTCTGGTTTTTTGTATAATACCTATATACTTGGAAATTTAAAAGTGTAAAACTTTTATCCAACATCGATTTAATTAGTTATTATTTAAATTATTTTTATTTTATAGTAAACTCTAGATTTTCACTCCTATCAAAGGCAACAACTAAACAACAACAATATAAAGTTTTTTATTTTCTAAATTAACACTGATTATCCACGATGACGGCATCTAAACTTGTGCTTCCTAACTACATAGTACATGTACTACTCGTATCTTTCTATGTTATTTCTA